GAAGGAAAGTATCTAATATATTTTATAAAACAATTTAAGTCTTATAAAATTTGGATCTAAATGCCTTTCAATGTGATTAAATTTAAGGCATTTCATTTAGGATTCTTCCAAACTGGTCAACTGGGCAAATCATTATGAAAATTTGATATGTTTAGGAACTATTTAAAAAATATTAAAATGTAAAATTTACTAAGAAATGAACTATAACTATTATGTGTCCACATTTTAAAATTTCTAAGATTTCTTTGTCTAAATAAACTTTTGGAAGTTAAAATATTCAACAGTCTTGAGAATAATAATCACATCTATTCTGCATGTGAAAAATGTTTCCATGCCTGTTACAAAAGTAGATACAGTAATAAATTAGTGATAAAATACTTTGAAAAGCCCTTCAACATGAACATATTAGAGTAAATGTTTACAAAAGTTGCGTAATTAATTTTGAAAACATTGAGATATGAACTTTATGATACATCAACTGAACTGTGTTTAATACTTAAATTTTTCATACATATAAATTAGTCATCTCTGCCCTGGCTGGGTGGCTCAGTTGGTTAGAGCATTGTCCCAATGACCCAAGGTTGTCAGTTCCATCTCTGGTCAGAAGACATACAAGAATCAACAAATGAATGCATAAATAAGTGGAACAACAAATCGATGTGTTTTTCTCTCTCAAATCAATAAAGAAAATGTTTTAAAAAACTGAAAAAATAAACTAGTCATCTATAAATGTTTTCATATCTTATATTATTAATAAAATGCTTTAAATTCATCTCAGTTACAATAATTATTCTTATTTACTCTATTTCCATTAGTCTTTGAGATGTTTTCTAAGCAAAGTAATAAAAGAAACATAAAATCTTTGCATTATGGACTTTTGTATCCTCCATAAGGATCAAACTACAAGTCAGAATAGAGACCATAGGGAAAAACATCAATACTAGAAAGGTAAATAAAAAATTCAAAACAAAATTATTAAAAAATATTTAAGCCTACTGATTAACTAGCTAAATTGAAATCACTTTGAAATACTCTTTGAAAAAATCTTATATATAGTAAAGAAAAGAAATATAGTTATGTGAAAATTCTTTATATCATATTTGATGGCCAAGAATTCCTATATAATACAACATGTGAAGAAATATTACTATGCAAATAAGCTTAAGAGAAGGCAATAAAGAGAATGGATTCTATTTCTCCCCTAACCAAAATAAATTTCAAATGATCATTTTACCTTATTAGGTGAGATAATAATTTTGGAAATAAATGTCAAAATGTATGTAAGGAAAACTTACAGGTCAACAAATATCAACAGGTAAGTTATTGGGGAATACTGCCCTTCTCCAGAAAAGATCTAACAATTAATTACCATGCAATTCATCCAAAGTACCATCATTATTTAAGACCTATTGAAAGCTTATAATATTTCAAGAAGTTGCCAGAGACCTTTCCAGATATTTTAAACATGTTAGCCCACAATCTAACTGTGGATGTACATTTACAAAATTCATTAGTAACAACAAACTGACAGGAGTATTAATTATTAGCACTTACAAAATAACTGTATTCTAATTGATGAAATCACCTTAACAGGGACTTAGATGTACAAATCTGTATTAACCATGCATATACCCTTCCTTCAATTGACAGACAAATCTGTTTTCCATTGGATTCTTAAGATATTCCTACAAATTTATCTTATTAATAAACTAAACCATCAACATTGTCAAATATTAAATATTTTAAGAAACAGCTCCAAGACTGTGCTGTGTTAAAATTCACAAAGATAATATACATTTTTGTTAAGTTTGTAAAAATAAAATATTTCTTATTGAATACTATCAATATTTCAGTATTGACATGTGTCAGAATATATATATATATATTCATTAATAGTCCAGAAAAATAAGATCATTTAAATCACAAGTTAACATCAGGAAGTCAAATGAGATTGTCATTTTAAACGACTTATGGTCACACCCCATCTTCAGACAGCAGAATTTCACTGCAGTTATCAAATAGTCTAAAGATAGATAAAATACAGTACCTAAGTCATGTTTTTCATTTGGAGGAGCTGGTGACATTAGAGAAATAGAAGTTTGATTATATTACTGCCAACAAATTTGAAATTTGTTGTAACAATGAACAAGTGTATACACACACACACACACACACACCTCTTCATTTCCTAACAATTTAATTATTTTTGATGTGCAGTCGATATTTTTAAAAGAAAAAATATATCCTAGGTGACTTGGCATGAATTTTTAAATATTATTTTAAAGAAACTAAAATAATTTATTTTTATTTCCTTAAGTATATAGTATTAAAAACATTCCAATTACTTTTTAAAAATTCAATGACACATACACTTCTGAACACTGAGAAAACATCTCTGTCACATATTTAAAATAATGAATAGATATTGATTGGTCCAAGAAAACATTTAAAATTTCTGAATATCCATGCCTATTTTTTCATAACAAAAGAGTATAGAGACATACTGGGGGAAAATCTAATTTATAATCATACATAAAGTCTAGTATGCTTTAAAATATGCTCAGACAGTAAAAAAAAGGCAGCAAAAATAATTTAAAATATTTAAAAGACATTTATGTCATTGTCCTGAATTGCAACCTGATTGTATAAACCAGAGCAATACTCTCATGGTACCTACACACATCATTTATGACCATCAACTTGTAGTTGCTTGGCTAAGATCTGTAGGATTCCTGCCTTTTTCCAAACAATTATTCATATAATTTATATGCAATTTATGTTAAGTTGCACAACAACCTAGGTATCAAAGCGAAGATGCAAAAAAATAAGGAAACTGATACCTAAGTAATTTTTCTTTAGAAAAAAACTTAGATATATTTTAAAAAACAAATATTGTAACCATCAAAAAAAAATCCCTAAAATATCACTTTCTAATTTTAAAGTTAAAGATGATCACTGCCTGGTTTTTTACATCACAAAAAAACAAATACTTAAGTTTTATTGACTTTTTACATACTTCTCCCTAAGAATGTACCTAGATATATTCTTCTGAAGAATACAAATACACATATTTAAAGAGTATTTTTATCACATGTCATTTTAATATTGTTCTTTAGTAAACACATAATGTGTAACAGAAGATTAAAGCAAGTCTTTAATAATCAATTATTGTACACTAGAAACCGTCTGCTCTCTATAAAACTTTTTTAGTAATATAATATTTCTTAATTTAGTAGATATAGGAATGTTTATCAACATATAACCAATAAACAGCTTAAATTTGGATGTCTCATGGTTCTAAACATTAATACTGATTAATAAGATGTCTAATATTTGAATATATTAAATATAGAAAACCAAATTATAACAAGGTGTGATCAAAGAAGAAAAGGGCTATTTTTTTCATTCATCTATAAAACAAATTTATGAGATCGTAAAGAACAATTTAACAACCTAAAGAAGGTTCAAAGGGGGGAAAGCCAGAGCCTGACAGAATTGGATCTGTCAATGATTTCAGTCATTCAGTCTAGGGAGGAAAAAAAGCAGAAAATGTGGCTTCATTTTGCAATATAAAGTAGGAGGCATAAAATTCAGTAGCCTGTCTGTGGACTTCTATTTATGTATTTAAACCCTGTTTCAATTCACAGATTATGCTGATCCTTCCACATATAAACAGCCAATAATGATGGCCAGGCCTTTAGGAAAGGAAAACACACACCACACAGCAAGGTCAGGAAGCTACCAAGCACCACAGGACAACAGATCAAAACAGAATGGTTTCATATGTTTCTATTGTTTATATACTTAATTTGGAGATGATATTCCTTAGGGGGAAAGGAGGTTGTAAATATTACCAGGAACATGCAACATAGTATCAAACAAAATGTATAATTTCCATGCAAACAGACTAAGTATTTCCTGCATGTATCTATGTCAGTCAACCAGTAGTATATTGATAGCCATTCATTGAATTCTTTTTAACTTAGATGTCAAGGCAAAGCAAAACTTTTTACTCTTTAGTCCCTTTACTCCTATTTAAGAATTAATTATTACAGAGAATTAATAGTTCTTCAACTTCTCTTGATGAAATGATCAAGCTTGCAAACTGTAAATATTTTTTTACAATAAAGAGACTAATAGAGAGGAGTGGATTGAAAGGGGATGAGGTATTAATTTGTTTCTGCGTAAAATTTTTAAAATGAGAAGCAATAACATTCTGCTTGGTATTAAGCGTCTTAAAAAATTACAACACACTATAAGCAATGGTGGAAATTTACCCCCAAGTAGCAGACTAGCACATTTTAAACACACAAACTAGAGCCGCCTCTGGCCACATGTTTTTTTGAGTTCAGTCTCTTAAAGAGACAGTATCCTTGGATATACGCCCTTAACGAAGTACAATTCTAAAATGTTTGATTATTAAGCATCCACTCTTATATTTCTGCAAATCCACACTAGGGCAACTGTTTTATTTTATTTTACTGTAAAAATCAAATTATTTTAACTTGCATCTACAAATATAGAGCCAGAGATTAAATAACAGGGAAAGCTACTGCCTAGAGATGTCTGAAATACCAGGACCTATAGATTTCTTCTAACATCAGACTGTTGTGTTGTGTTTTTTTAAAACTTAAAACGGTCCCCGTTTCTTCATTCATTTACCTACTCATTCACCAGGCGTAGGCGACACAGTACATTGTAACGGATAACACCGGAAGCTACACCACTGCAATTTCGCTGTCGAATGAAGAGAGGGAACTTGCTAATAAAGTCAACCAGCACCCAAGCAGTAAAATTTCAAAGATTTCATTTTCTGTTTAGGAAAAATACCCAGAAGGGGGCCCGTACATATACCTTAAAAACTGTATTAACTCGTGACTATAAGATTTTTTTTTTCAACATACCTAAGGACAGACACATTATTGTATAGCCACTGACAAAACGACTTTATGAATTCCACATGGGAAAAGGTGAAGAGGAGGGGGAAAAGTTTGGCTTACTTGGTGTACGAATACATCGACTGGGATATCCAAGGGGCTTCCTTCTCGGTTTATCATGGAGATGAATCCAAATCCCATTCGCACATTGAACCACTTACAGTGGCCAGTTCCGTGCAAAACCTGGGATTCCTCCTCTGCCTGTTCCGGCAGCTTCCCGGGCTCTTCTCCACCTTTGCTTGCCCCGCCTGTGTAGAACAGGACAAAAAAAGTCAGTTAGTCTATATTGCCGCACAGTTCATTGAGAGGGAGAGGGAGAGGGGGAGAGAGAGAGAGAGAGAGAGAGAGAGAGAGAGAGAGAGAGAGAGAGAACCCCCCACAAAACCGCTTGGGGGGGGAGGGGAAGAAGGAAATAAGAAAATGCGATTAAATGGTTCTTTTCTTCTACAGAAAATATTTAAAATCAGAAGGGTTAAAAGGGGAAGCGGGGGAGGGGGAGCCACACTGTTCTATCGATCACATCCACTTCCACGGTTCTGTACATACGTGTACTTTTTCGCTTAACTCCATTTTTTCAGCCACACATTACAGTACAGCATGAGATACTTTACTTGCATATTGCTGATTTAACACTGATCCCATTTACAAAGAGAAATTTTCAGCGAAACTCTTCTTTTGGGCAGGCACCGGGAGGAAAGAGAAATCGCGAAGAAGGTTAGAACCAGTTTAATGCACATGCGGCAGCAGCGAATCCGGGGTTATCTGCAATGTGCATTCCCCTCCCCCCATAACTTTCAATTAAAGTTGGGGTGGGATGGGGGAGGGGGCAGGTGTATAAAAGTTTTCTTGGGCTCACTAACTGAAACTGCGCTTAATCACACTCAAACAATTCAAACAATAGCCCCCTGAAAGCTTTTCAAGTTGTGAATCAGTGTGGGCGGTACAAAACATTTTTGGAGATCTGTAACAATAGGTTGAGAAAGCCCCGTTGCGCGATGGAGGGTGGGGGTAATGCCCAGTATTGGGGTATAACCGGGGAGGGGGGACGGGCAAAGAAGGGTGGGAGAGGGGGAGGGGGTAGAGAAAGGAAGAGAGAAAATCACAGTAAAACAATAGAAAAGAAAATTAACCTTCGGCCATGTTGCCCCACCGGCCCTCTGCTCCAAACTCGTGAGATGAAAACTTTCCCTTTGCAACGGAGTGATCTTCTGCATCAATCTAACATCTTGATTTTGTGTGATCACAAATTTAGCTCGCATGGTCTAATGTGCTTTCCCTCTTTTGATTTTTTTCTCTTCTCTCTCCAGTTTCTGGCCCCCTGAGCACACGTGACTTTGTCAATTACATGCTTTCTTGCTACTAATTTCACCTCGGATCCTTAAGGGGCTGGCGAGAGGAAGAGATAACCAATCGCCATTTCATCTATGCTGACATGAAAATAATTTATGAATGAACACGAAAAACTCAAGCATGTTATCTTAAAGACAATTTGGGACGCTTCTTTACGATAAATCAGAATGCTGACTTCGTGCTTTTACTTAAACACAATGGAGGGTCCTTGTGAATCGTTTAGAAAAACGGCAGTCATATATGTGCACACGCATGCCTTATGTACAAACTTGTCCAAATAATCTCATTTTGGTGGAAAAAGCCATTTAAATAAAGCAACCGAGGTTCCCCCCACCCCTTAAAAATTCAGCCGCTCACTAGCAGTAAACCTGCTTTGGTCACAAACCTATTGAATTCAGTTCTTAGAGAGAAATATGTAATTTACAAAAGATCTAATTAAACCTAATTACATTCCCATGAAAGTTTAGATAATAATACACCCACAATAAAACAAAAGTACACAATTACCTGGTTGTGCTCTGAAAATTTTGAAATTAAAAATAAAATTCTACTGGAAAAATCGCTATCACCTTCACGTAGTCAAATTGTGTTTAGTTTTATCATTTTGGAACATTTTGGAGGGGGTCGGTAAGAAATTGTACTTCACAGGTTTCTCCGCCATCTCTTTCCGGGGGAGGAGATGTGATTAATGACTTCCTAAATAACAGCCCAGTTTTCCAGCTTAACATAGAGTGAACCTCAATCAGTGGTGATTGTTCCCCAAGAGCGAGATGAGGTAGGGCAAGGAGGGGGAGGGGTGCGCCAGGCTGGGGAGGTGAAGAGGAGCGGCCAGCAGAGGCGGCTGCAGAGCCAGAGAAAGAGGTGGGGGAGAAAAAAGCGGGCGCCAGTGGGGGGAGGGGTGAAGAAAGAGGCAAGTGGGAGAAAAAAAGGTAAATTCATATAATATTGACTGGACCGTGACATTTTAAAAGTCAACTACCAGTGGATGGAAGAGTCGAATAAACGAGAATTTAATAACGGATTAGGCTCCTACCACCCCGTCCCGCGCCCGCCCCAGTTTCAAAATGCTTTCCCTTTACCTTTCAAATCGGTTCAAATTATTGGAGATTACTAGATACTGACACCAGTATTGCCGCCCTCCTCGAACATCACAACAAATATTATACATCAACTAGAAATGCCTTATTTCCTTTAAAATATAAAACATCATCCGTTTATTAAACATTTAAACGCACCACGTACTCTTTCCCCCCACCCCACCCCCATTTTCTTAAACAAGCAGTTTACGGAGAAACTGTACAGATACCACTTCCCTTAGGCAAAGAGACCGACCTGACCCTCCCCCACCAAACCCGCAATCCCCTCCGGTGTCTCCAAACATGTCCACACTGCTAACTCTTAACACTCCTAACACTGTTTCACAAAAACTAAAATGTAGGGGTCCTGAATACAAGAGCTTTTGAAAATCCACATACACATCAATGTACACCTCCTCCCCATACTAAACAACTAAATATAAATTTATACTAATTGGTTCAGATCTAAATTAAATGAATGTATATAAATATATGCTGTTTTCAGCTGTTTGTGGTAAAAGGCTTCAGTCAAGGCTGATGAATTTGGAAAAATATTTGGTGTGTTTATTTTGTTGTTTCTCAGGAAAGGGGGCAAAGTTTTCTCATTTTCTTTCGGGGCAAAACCATGGTAGGGAGGAAAGAAAAAGTGTGAAAGTCCAAGTGATTTTGAAGGAGTAACAAAAGCTCAAAGCTCTCAAAAAATTATTTGTTAACAAAACATTTACTAGGCACTATTTTAATAGACAGCAATTGATTACATTGACCTATAATGAAGTAACTTTAACAAGGGCATTCCAAGTTAAACATTTCACAAAATACAAAATAGAAAACACTAAAATAAGTTATGTTGCTTTTTAAAATATTTTAAGTGAATTACTTAAAAAAATCAACATCTGGTTAAGAGAAAAATCTGGAAAAGTATTCATGTAAATTGAGGAGGAAAACTATTATTTATGTAAAACCAACTGTCATAAAATCCACAGGCCAGTAGTTTAGTCACTGACGCATTTATAGTACAAGATGTTTTATCTGTAAGTTTGCTTTAATCAGAAAATAGTTTAATAATAAAATCAGAAACAATATATAGGTGGTTTGTGAATCCTTGTCTACTGTTAAATTTGATGAAATTCAAACCTATCAATACCCAGATTAAAAGTGTTAAATACTATCACTGAAGCACATATTATGATATGTTATGAGATTCAGTTTTGCCTGATTGGGGGCCTCCAGTATTAGTGGAATTAAGGTAGGGTTCACTGGACTGGTCACTGGTGTCAGAGGTTATCGACTCATTCATTTCCTGAGAGGGACATCAGCCTTTCAAGTTGTGTAGAAGGCTTTTTCCAACTGGGAACTCTGAGAAATCCTCCAACATTCATTCACAAAGAATTTAAGGCAACTTCATTTACATAAACGGGGGGGGGGGGTAAAAGAAAGATAGAAGGGAAGGGAGGAGGAGGAGGAAAGGAAATTGGGGAGAAAAGTGAAGGAGACACAGAAACAAAATAGCAGCATTTCAGATATATAGCAATGTCTTTTACAGAGATTCGTCTTTTCTATCCCCCACCCCCATCTATTGAGCCTAAGATCCTTTTATAAAACTGAACATAATCTCCTTAAGCTCATAGAATGCTTTTTTCACATAAAATGTTCCTATGAATCTCCTAGAATGCTTTCCAATTTGTCACCTTCCTGAAGTCTTCTGGTTTTAATTTTTTTCTCATTTCCTACTTGTTTTTAGTGCCAGAAAGACCTGTGCTTGACTCAAAACGCATGTTTTATACCTGTGAAAGCCAAATGTTTCAGTAGGTTGATTTATCATAGTTCTTCCAAAATATCTTTAAAATGAGTTCAAATAGCTACAAAGATCTGTAACGCACTGGAGGTAAAAATCGAGGAAATAACCTATCATATACCCATTGGTTATCAGTCTAAGGTTTCTCCATTTAAAAAGCAAAGTACACATGTTCTGGGTCTTTTTGTTTGTTTGTTTAGTTTTGTTTTTAATTCCAATACAATGCAAGAAGCCAAAAGAGGTGCCACAGGCCACCGTCGTTGTTTTCCTATAAGCAATGAGTAACTTCTATCAAAGCAGAAACAATGCTTCGGTTCTTAAATCTAGGAGGAGGGGCTGTCGCACTGCCGCAAGCGACTCCACCCGGCTCTCCTCCCGGCAAATAAGGCCGGGGTCTGCAGCCCCAGGGCTGCGAAAGCAGCCCTGTAATTTCACGGGCAGTCGCGCCCCAGGGTTGCCTAGACCCCCAGGCCAGTCGATCTGCCCTTTCCCTCCGCCTCCACCCCCCAACACTTCCTCTCCCCTTTTTCTCTCCAGTCACCTTTCCCTTTATTCAGCACATCACCACTCCTCTAGAAATGGAACCCTTCGGAAGAAAGCTAATGATTTCTCACTAATTAATGGATTTTTACATTTGCCCTCCCCCACCCCCCACCCCAGAACACCAAACAAAGGAAACCCTTGCCTTCACCACTATGGAAGACAACACTTAGCACAGTCTACTACTTTTGCTGTATTTACAGACATATCATTTATAATTTGATCCCTTTATCTATGAGATGTCAGAGTCTCGGAAATGCAAGATAAGTGAAGTCAAGGGGGAAGTAATCAGGAGAACCCGAGAAAATGACCACTGCCCCCCACCCCCCACCCGCCTTGCCTAAAATGGGAAGGTCTTCAGACTCCTGGCGCCGGTACTTCAGGACAGCCACGAAAACATCGCCATGCGACTTTGGAGGGTCAAGAAAAGCCCTTGTCCGGCAAGGGATGGGGTGGGGGGCGGCCTGGGGCAATTTTAGAGAACCCGCTCTCTGGCCCCGAGGATTGAGGTTTCCAGCGCAAAAGCTGCACGTCGGACAAACTGTTCCCGATCCCTCCCACTGCGGTTTCAGCAAACTACTTGGCAAATAACTTTCTTGAAATGCTTACAATACAGAATCAAATGAAAGGAGTACTTGGCTGGGAGCCTTGGTCTTATAATAAAAGCACTTCAGAATATGGGGGCATTTTGTTTTTGTTTCCAAAAAGCAAAATTCCGTTCTTATTTAATTTCCTTATCTGGAAGGAAAATGCTCTGGCTTAACACAATTGTTCCTATTTAAGAATTTTTACACAGTTGTAAATCTTTTTAAATTTTTCCCTTATTTCTTTATAACACATTTCCCCAGGTATAATTAAATAAAATTATGGAAATACAGGAACCGATTAACATATTTTAAATGTTCCAAATTGCTTTCATACTTCAAAAAACAAACATTTGCAAATGTTTCCTTCTTTTTGATCAGTTATGTTTCAGCAAAGTATTTAGAGCAATAAAATTAATTCTAAAAAGGGGCATTATTTTAGGAGCACTGTTTTTGTACAGTTTCATTTAAAAAACTGAAACAGCAATAAAATAAAATAAAAAATCCTGTTCTAGTACCATACACCCCAATGAAAATTAAAAAAAAAATTATTACAGTTCCTAAATATCCTCTAAACTGTGCTCAACAAATACTTTCTTAAATAATTTTAATCAGAACAGAAATGGGTTAGAAAATTCATTTTGTAACAAGCACATTATTTTGCCCAGAATAGCACTAAAGGAAGCTTCATGTTTTATATGAAAAATGAGTATTTTCCACCTGTATGAGTTGAACACGTATGCTTCATAATTTAAATAAGTTTTTTGCAGCAAATATTCTGAGCCTGTAGAAATGACACTAAATAATGTCAACCTGTAATTATTTCCCATCCAAGGCAATGAATGAAAGTTGGTTATTTATAACTCAATCTCATCAAAAGAAATAACTGAAATAAGAGTGTTTCCCAGGTATTTATTTTAATATTTCCACTTTGGCTTTATTTGAGAGAGGGGGCAGGTAGATGGAAAATGGCAAGGAAAAGAAGACTAGGGGAGGGAGTAAAAGATGAGGGAAGTGGGAAGAAAAGATGCCTGGGTGGCAAGCAAATCTGTGGAGAAAGAACATCCAGCTACAAACTAGAAGCCAGCATTCTGGTCCCACTTGCTGACCTTGCTAATCACCTACCTTCTCTAGCCTCAGTTAGCTCACCTGCAAAGTGAGGAGAGTAGACCAGTTGATGTTCAAGTATTTAGGCTTAAATGTAATCCCTAGAAATAACCTTTCTTTTTGGTGAAAGTGGAACCTCTCCCCAACAACCCCTTTTTAATCACAAGGAAACACAGACATGAAACTTTATTGCAGTCACTTAACACATTGGTGTTAACATTATTTCCCAACAGAAAAGAAAAGGGTATCTGGACTGTCTCCAGGTTGCCCCCACAGAAAAACCACAATCTATGGTTATCAGAAACTAGTTGGTAAATTAAAATATTGTAGCAACTTTTCAGAATCTTCATTTTCATGATACTCTTAAGAGCATCATCTCCATGTCAAAGGATTCACTCTAGAAAAAAGGAAAGTGTTTGTCAAATGGCAATGCCTATCAGTGGTCTCCTTATTAAACTTGTTGATCCCTACTATTTTCCTCTTGCTACCTACAATCTTAAATTTGATAAGCTTAACAAAATAACATCTTTTTATTTGTACTTATTTAATGATCATAAATCTTGTCATATCACAGCATTTAAATGTTTTCATAGTAGTGTCAAGAGCAAAGCCAAAATATAAAATTCATCAGAGCATAAGCCAGAGTATTACATTATCAAACAAAATTATTCTGAAAATAGTGTTGTAAGTTTTAAGTGAATTTCAGTAATGTAAAAATATTTATGTATCAAAAATCTAGGTTGTACAGTACAGGTAAGTAAATAAAAGATGCATGCAAAAAAAAAGTCCAGCTTTGAAATGTGAAAAGTTCAAATGACTAATTTATGAAGTATAATAGGGGACAAATATGATACAAGTTCATGAAAATCATAAACGAAGCTTCCCTAGATTAGTAAAATTCACTGCTTCTCTAAAAAATGCCTAATATATTGTGCTATTTGTGTTATGGTAAATTATTGAAAACAGCACCAAGTCTCTATCTTTTAATTAATTCAACCTATATTTGTGAGTGCTTATTTTGCTGTGGGTATTTTAAAAATGAACAAGCTACAAATACTCTTCACTCAGCTACCTAAGCATATAAATATCTAGTATCTATTTTGCCTGAGTTCTGAAAAAATAATCACAAAATCCAATGCTGCTAAAATCAGGAGGAAAGGAGTTAATTAGATTTCATCCATGCAATATGGTGTGAGTATGTTTACAGGACAGAGGGATCTGGAGTACAGTGGGATATGGTACCTATCTTGCCAAGGTGAATTTCTGATGGTTGTCAAGTTTCCTCATATGCCTATAGTTATCTTTTCAAACATAATTTAAGTAAAATTTTTATTTTGGGGGAAAAAAAAATGACTAACCTGGGGCTGATGAAACCTGGTTGAATGACCTCATTGTCTTCTGAAGAACCTAAAACCAGAAAGCTCAAGTTAGTACTACATTAAATGCCTATTTAATTGCCTCTTCATCAGCTTAATGGCTCATTAGAAAGCAATAAAATGCCTAGGTTTTGACTCTGTGAAGTCAAATTTAAGACTCACCTAGCAAAATTAGATAACCAATTGGCATAAACTTGTCTTTCATTCCTATTAAAGGACACTGGTTTAAAAAAAAAAAAAAGAAAAGAAAAGCCCTGGCCAGTTCGGCTCAGCGGTTAGAGCATTGGCCTGCAGTCCAGAAAGACCCAGTTTTGGTTCCCGCTAAGGGCGGTACCTCGGTTGCAGTTTGACCCCCCGTCCTGACCCAACCAGGGCCAACAGGGCCAACCAGGACCGTGCAGGAGGCAGCCACTCGATGTGTCCCTTTCAAGTAGATGTTTCCCTCTCTCTCCCTCCCACTCTGTCTGAACAAAAAAATGGAAAAATGTCCTCGGGTGAGGATAAAAAAATAAAAAATAAACATTTTAGCCCTAGCCGGTTTTGCTCAGTGGTTAAAGCATCGGCCCACGGACCAGAGAGTCCTGGGTTTGGTTCCCACTAAGGGCACATACCTCACTTACAGTTTGTCCCCAGCCTGGTTGGGGTTGTATGGGTGGCAACCAGTCAATCAATGTGTCTCACGTTGATGTTTCTCTCTCTCTCTTTCCCACTCTCTCCCTCACGGTCTATCTGAAGATAAGTGCAAAAATGTCCTCGGGTGAGGATAAAATAAATAAATAAAAAAAATAAAGAACATGCCTTTAAAAAAAAACAAAAATATTTTAAACAAGACCATTATTTAGTCAAACATCTCCATTTCATGAATGATGTAATTAAATTAAAATATATTTAATATTACACTGTAATTGAAGAATTCCATTTTTTTTTATTAAAAAAAAGTTAAGAATCAACCTAACCTTCAACATTGTGATTCTTGATGAACTTATGACTATTCTTTTCAGATATATTTTAGAAGCTAAATCATGAAAATCTAATTGTGGAATTATACCATTGATACTAGTTCTCTGTGTTACATTCAAATATTCTTTGAGAAAAAATTACTGTAGTGGTAATTCACTTAATCATTAAGTATGTTTCATTAAAAGTATCTAATATGCATTATCCCAGATTTTAAAGCAACAATAGTTCTTGTTAAAAAATATGACTATCTTCTTTTAAAAATTTTTTCTTAATCCTCAGCTGAGGAAATGTTACATCGATTTTTTTTTTTTAGAGAGAGAGAGGGAAGGAGGGAGGGAGGGAGGGAGGGAGGGAGGAAAAGAGAAACATTGATGTAAGAGAGACACAATGATTAGTTGCCTCCTGCATGTACCTGACTCGGGCAAGAGATCTGGAGTCAGGGATTGAACCTTCAACCCAGGTACATGCCCGTTACCCCTCTGTGCTCTAACCACTGGGAACACCGGCCAGGGTAAAAATATGAGTCAAGTTCTGACATTTCTAATATATCCACTAGCACATGTCACAACACAATAAGACTTGCAATAGTTTACCCAGTAATGATGTATAGCAATTGGAATATAAACTCTCATAACTACTGAATTATCATTTTATCCTAAGGTTCGGAAAACAGATTTGTTTGAACATGCATCAACTCACTCACCTGCTACCACCTGGGGTTGTATTTGTTTCCTTAACTAAGTTCTACATGCTATATCTACTATATCAAGTCACATAAAATAAGCCATTTTGTGCACATTCTTTAAGTTGTAATTTAATTTTCTTCTCAAAACTAAATGGAACCCTGGAGAGTGTGGCTCATTTGGTTGGAGCATTGTCCTATGCACCAAAAGGTTTCGGGTTTGATTCCAGTTAGGGTGTGGACAGGAGACAACTGATAGATATTTCCTCTCTCATATTGATGTTTCTCTCTCTCGCTTTCTCTCTCCCTTTCCTCACTCTGAAAAATCAATAAACATGTCTTTGGTGAAGATTTTAAAAAATTAAAGAACAGAGGAAGAATGAACAAAAGGCATGTGAAACACCAAATTAAATCCTTCAATTATCCTGTGTTTAAAACCAAAAGACAGATGATGATGACAGACCCTGTTAACAAAACTCTTTATTAAAACTTATTTGAAATAGAGCTTCCCTTTACATTGAGACTATATTGTTTTATTTTGCACACTCAGTTTATGTAGGGCTTTATTTACATATTACACATAACTCCAGCAAAATCCTAGCTTGTGTTTTTATATTCTAATAGCCCACACCCATGCTTAGTCTTCTCCGCTTATATTTACAGAAAAGTTCACACCAACATATTCTAAAGATATAAAAAAATAATCGATGAGGTTTACTAAAATTTTATTAAATAATTCAGATGATAAATTATTATAAATGGTAGATTTAAAAGTACAAATCAAATGGCACAATGCTATTTAAGAGCTCTAAATATGAGCTTTCTGGATTTAAAAAGAGCCAATCCTTTGGAATGATAAAGATGTTCAGATTTTTCACTGTCTAAACTCACATATGATAGTTTATTTTCATTTTTTGTTATTTAGAGTTTGAATATTATCATCCCCTGTCAAAGGAAAAGATGGAATTATATCACAGACATTAATTGATATATTTCACTGATGGTAAGCAATGGTGTAAAATTTTTTTAAAATGAGTTAAATAGAGAAAAAAGAATTAAGTTTAAATATGAATGCCATAATCCATCCAATGTTTACTGAACAACTATGATAAGAATGAGATAGGTAAATGTTACATAAAATATTTATAGTATTGCCTGGCCAATGTGGCTCAGTGGTTGAGCGTCGACCCATGAATCAAGAGGTCACTGGTCCAATTGCCAGTCAGGGCACATGCCCAGGTTGTGAGTCGAATACAGGAGGGAGCTAATCGATGTTCTCTCTCGTTGATGTTGCTATCTCTCCCTCTTGCTTCCTTTCTCTCTAAAATCAATAAAGAAAAAATATGAAACAAACAAAAAATTGTAGTATTAAATGTTCATCTTCTTACTGTGGGTGACTATTTGAAAGGAAATAAAGAATTAAAATAATTCCTTAAATATATGAATAATAAAAAACAGCTATTTAACTTTATACATGGGTGTATTTATTTAATACTATACTTTGGAGTAAATGTTAAAAAACAAAAATTTAATTAAAATTGTGATATGCTAGAATATACTTCTCTGACCCTTCACTAGAATACCTGTTCATCACTTTAATCTCCACTTCAATCTCTTTTTATTATTGTTACACACTGAGTACAGTGCTTCTACCATCTAATACTGTATTGTAATTGACTATAATAGCCCAAGAAAATGTTCTCTCTCCCAAATAGACTCTATGCTCTATGGTGGCAGGGATTGCATATATTTAGCTCAACGTTTTAATCTTGGCAATCTTTAGTGTTTAATACACACTTTTTAAATGAATCAATGACTTAATGAATTTCTGAACCTGGCTAACCCATCTGTAGAATGCCTATTATGAAATAAACTTGTATACAAAATTTCCTTTAAAGCTACCTTTTCAAAAAAAAAAAAAAAAAGAATGTGAGAGGTAATTAATTATTTGACTATTGTAAACATAAAATATTTACATACAGTGTGATTTCAAGAATTTTATTTAAAATATATGTACTTACTGCTATAATATTGACTAACTTATGTACACTAGTCATTAGAAACACTCTTAGACTTCACACTTTCTCCTATTAAAATATATAACAATATTCTTCTCAGATACTTTACATATTGTTGTTAATCCACTACTGTAACTATTTAATAAAGAAAATGATTACTACTGCACATTATACACTCATTTTTTTAAATTGCCAACTTAACTGTTAAACCTGGAGAATTGAGTAATAAGTAAAAAAAACTACCATATTACTCAGAATTTTATTTCTATTCAATTTATATCGTGTTAGTTTTTCCTTCTAATAATAATAATGATATGCAAGTTACTTTAAGTTCTCATAAAATGATTTAGCAATCAAGAATATTTACCAAAAGAAAAATTATTTCATTACATATTCTCATCACTATAATTTCTCAACATTTAAAAAAAATACTACAGAAAACAAATTTCTCATTATCAGTATTTTCTAAAATAATGCAAGTGTAAAAATATATTATAGATTACCATAAAAATATTCACTTTATGGTTTATAACAAAAATTATAGTATACTTACAATATGACTCAACTATTACTGATGTAAATACATTATTTGAAAAGTAAAGTAGACAACAGTGTGACTTTTCCTTTCTAGAATAGTTGGAGGAAAAGTTTTTGAATGACTCTACTTAAAATCATATAGCAAACATCCTATATAAACACCAGGTTGAAACCTAAAGCACAGTATTTATTTAGATTTAATATAATAAACATAACATAAATACATATTAAATAAAATATTAAATAATGAAGTTCAATATTGAATGTTTTCTTACATTGTCCTCTAAAGAAATGTTTACTATGTATTAAAACTCTTTAGAGTAATTACTTTTTACAATTTAGTCAATAGACAATTCAAATGCTGCATAAACAAAATCAGGATAAATTATTGTGCAATTCAACTGAACATTCTACTGTAATTTTTCCTATAACTGGAAATACTGTACTCTCAAGTATATACAGGTACAGGCAATAAAAAAAAAATGATCTGCTTTAAAGGTATTTACATGGGACTTTATACAGTTGAAAAATCATAGGTATTGGAGTGTTAAAACAGGTAACTTCACATTTGGTGAAATATTTTGAACATTTTCTTGAGAGAATAAAAAAATTTATATTACTTAAAAAGATTTCAAAGCTGCATTTTTTATATTTAGGAATTAAATTATATTACTTATTTTTCATTATTTATAATATATAAACAGTTCAACTTAGAGGCTAATATTTCTAATATTGCTGAATCACAGAGATGAATTTAACTTTCTCAACCACTTTCAAAATGAAATTTTAATGGTTTCACATAAGATACAGGCAGCTCTAGAATTCTCTTTA